TTATTTTTAGAGTTTTGTCTTATTTTATCTTAGTTTTTAAAGTATTTTAATATCAAATAGTTTATTTTAAAAATATCTTAATATGTCCATATAAAACTCAATGCTTAAATTAAAAACTTCTTTTCTAATTCTGTTGAAATAATTTTGTAGGTAGTTCAGCCGGTCGAGTGCAATCGCAAGCCGAAGCATGTCTTCTAGATGTCGCTAGGTGCGCTAGTGGCGACCCCGGATGTGCAAAAGCAACAATGGACGAAATCGACGTTCTTTTGACCGGTTTGCAAAATCCTGCTGTTGTAGTAAGAGACGCAGCTTTACGAAGTTTAACAATAATTGTCTCTTCACTACCGAACTACGAAAGCGACTACGATTACGCTATGAAAATTAGCAAAAGAATATGGATTGCGAAATTTGATGAAAACGAGGAAAACCAAATTTTAGCCGAAAAATTATGGGAATTGGCAAAATTAGAATTTCCTGCTTATCTCAGCGAAGAATTAATGCCTGATATTGAACATCCAGTCGAATGTGTTCAAGTGGCCGCTTCTCGTGCACTTGCTGCTCTCTTACAAGATAATAAAGAACAAGTGCAGGAAACTTTGGAGAAACTTTTGAAATTGTACAATCAGAGATTGCAGGTTTGCACTTGTTTTGGTTTGTGATTGTTTTTCTTGATTTTTTTTTAAGATGATTCCAGCGAAATTGGATGAATTTGGTCGTGAATTGGAGAAACCAATTGATACTTGGTTCCCGAGACGAGGTGTGGCATTAGCTTTGGCTCAGTTGGCACCCCTGATAACTCCAGATTTGATTGGTGATTTGGTTCAATTTTTCGTCTCGACGTCACTAAGCGATCGGCATGAGCAAGTCCGGAAGGAAATGTTAAATGCAGCTTTGAAAATTGTGGACTTGCATGGAAAGGTAATTTGGTGGTGAAACCATCACTTTTTTGTTTAAATTCCGGATTACGAATCTGTAAAAAAATTCAGCTAGCATTGTAAAATTTATCTTCCAATATTTAAAACACGCATTTTGGAAATGTGGTAAATGGCTTTTTTTTTTAAGACTATTCGAGTTTGGTTAAAAGATTTTTAAATGAACGTCAATAATGCGATTTTATCCAAATTCTATTGAAATTGAAATTATTTCCAGAAATAATCCATTTCGACGGCCGTAAATATGATTAAATATATAATTTAAAAACTTAAATGCAAATTTTTATTTTTTTATTAGGATTATGAATCTGTGAAAATATTTCAGCTAGGATACATAGTTTCGGAGAAATTCGTCCGAATTGGAAATGTGATAAAACGAACTGAGGAATTCGAATCTGTAAGAATTTCCTGCAAAAATTAAACGGTTTTATTGTAATCCAATAAAGTCCGCAGTGACTCAAATTGTGTTAAAAAAATAAAATTATTGAAAAATGGTTTTAATGGACTTTAGTGATTTTTTTCATAATTTTAAAATTAATATTACTAAGTTTTGTCACTTTCATGTCCGGAAATTTGATTAAATAATAAAAATTTTGAAAGTAAATTGTATAAACATTATTTTTTCAGCTGTAAAATTAGGAGGTTAGGAATCTGTAAAGAAAATTGGTTTCCCATTTTGGAAAAATTCGTCAAAATATGTCTAGGAAAAATCCGGAGCTACAAAAATATTTTCTAATTTTTTAAACACACGTTTTTGAAATGACTAAAAACATTTCTTATATAAAATGGAATGAACCGAAATTCGTAATACTGAATGAGTTTTTCTTTTGAAAAATTGAGCCGTCTTGTAACTCGGTAAAGATTTCAAAAAATTAAAGACTGTTTTGAGTGGGTTAATTTAAATAATTCGGTTATATATGTTTTTTAGTGATTTTTCTTATAATTTTGATTATTACAGCAAAATACATATCTTCAAAGGCTGGAAATATGGTTTAATAACTTATAAATTTGAATGAAGTTTAAAAAAACCTATTTTTATTATGGGAAATTAATCAAAGATTACGAATGTGTGAAACATTTCTACTAGATCTACGTCGGGACTGTTTAAATATGTTCTAATTTTTTAAACTTTGGAAATGTGACAATTCATAAATGACTTTTCTTAAATTCTGGTAAATTTCCATTATCTCATCCCGTGTAGGTAATGGATATAACATGATGTAATTTTTGACTTTTTTATATTTGTCAGTGTTTTTTTTTCCTATGCCTTATTAATGAAGTCGCTTTGGCGTTTTAAAAATGTTTATCACGTCAAATGTACAATATACAGAGTACGCCAGCACTCCAGCCCCAGAGAAAAATTTCAGGTAAGATACGATACCAGGAACATGAAAAAAATGTTTAAAAAATTCTATTTATCAAAAAATTTTGACATTAGTTTTTGACATTTGACATTTTTTATGTCTATTTAATGATACTTGCGATCTTGTATACCTTGTATGTTTTTTTACAATTATTTAGTAGAGGTACAAAAATTTTGCTAATAAAATCCACAAATAACATTGAACAGAGTTACAATTTAGGATATAGCTTCCTTGTTTTCTCTTCTAATAGCCTGTAGCAAAAAAAACTTGGAAATTATTTTTCCAACAGAAATAAATAGAGTCAAAGTGCAAAATTTAAACTCTCATAACTTTGAAATTTTTATAGATAAAATTTTTTAAACATTTTTTCCAAGTTTCTGGTATCCCACCTTATATGACATTTTTCTCTGGGGCGCGAGTTCTGGCACAGTCTGTATTTAAATAAAAAAAATTGTAGCATTATTTTAAGTAATTAGAAAATCTTTTTAACTTAATTTATTGATTTTATTATTATTATTATTGTTTATTACAAAGTTGAAATTGTTATTTGATGTTAATTTTTTTGTAGAAAAAACAATTGATGTTTTGAGGCTATTTAGGAAACATTAAAATTGTTAGGAAA